TTTCTTTCCATATGGAACCCTGGCTGATAGAGTCAGACTGCAAATGCCAGTTTAGACATATAGAAAACATGATGGAAATTAAGGGCAATTATTACAAGGATTGAGGAGGAAAAGTGTATTTCAAAATACATAGGAGACAAAATTAAGAGGTTTTCATGACAGTTTGTCTTTGTGGAAATGAGACAAAAGGATTGAGGATAAGGCCCACATGTCAAATTGGCCCCCAATTTGTGTGAGGCATACAAAAAAAGGTATAAGTACTCAGTAAGTATTTAATGACTAATAAGTCATTGGTCCAAGCAGAAACTTTCTTTTCTTCTCCAGATTATAAATGCGACTAAATGAGTAGTGGGGGTTGAGCTAATTTTTATAAGAAATAATTTATTACTTTATTTCATATTGTCACACAATTGACCTGCACTTTGTTGTGAGAAAGATACTCATCCCTCGAAACAAGAAGGGGAAAGGAAATATTCATTTCCCTTTCTGTAAATCAAACTTAGATAATTTGCTATATAAGAAAACACTAAAGGAAACACTTTGTGCATCATAAAAGCATCCAAATAGAGATGATGTGCTTTAAAAATGTCATCTTCTTACCATGAAACAATTAAAGAATGAATGAGAAGTGCAAGATAATAATTACTGGTTAATAGCTGGATGATAATAAAAATGGCTAAAAGGAGATGTAATGAAAAGGGAGCAGGGATCCTGTGAGAGGCCAAAAACTAGGGTAGTTCTAAGCCTCAGAGGCATCATTGCCCAAATTTCAAAATTATCTGAATTATCAAAATTATCTCATAAACAATGGATAAGATTGTAGAATATTTGAAGAATTTGTCTTCTTTCCATACTGCTCCTCCTAATGTTAAGAGCTTTTTGGAGAAAGAAATGTCTATGGGTGCAGACACAATATCAGTGGAAATTAGCTTCCTGCTTTCCTGAGCCATAAGACTACTGGAAAGATTTCAGGAAGGTCATTTATGATAGCTTGCAGTGCTCAGTATTTGCTGATGGTCTCTTTATCCCCATTTTCAGAGTTGTTGGCATGAAAAATTGAATTATTCTTGCTTTTGTAGGAATGCCATTAAAAGGGACCTCAATGATGCCATTCATTAAAGCAGAGTAAAATTTGCCATCCCCAAATATGCCTCTTTGCCATAAAAGTTATTTTATGGTGGTTATTTTTAAGAATCAACAGACATAGGAAAATTTCTGAAAACTGGAGTAGAAGTTACCTTTTTGTAAGAGACATTTAAATTTGTCAGGGAAATTTTCATCTGTAAGGGTATTTCCTTCCCTGTACCAGGAAGTGGAGAATGAGCAAATCTCTAGAAACTCTTATCAATGGGGAGGGCAGCAACTTAAGCCTGTATTACTACATACTCTGGTTTACTGTGCCTTTCCTGGTAACCTCCAATGACTGCTCCTCCCTTCCCTCACAATTTTGTCTTTAGCTGAAGTTGGTGTTTAAGGTGAAAATTGGGCCATTTCAGGGAGCTGGTTTTCCTGGGTCTCTCCCATGTAGGTAGGAGGTATACATGTTGTGAAACTTGGGTGGCTTTTTTTCCCTGTTAATCTGTCTTTTATTAAAGGAGGCGCCATTAGCCAAAAATCTAGAAGGGTAGAGGAAAAATTATTTCCCTCTCCTACACTATTTACTGAACACTATAAGGCAAAAGCCTGCATCTTACTTTTCAGCAAACTACGTCCAAAGATATGGCATGGTTTCCCCTAGGGCATGGGGTGCCAGGGCCAAAAATAGATACAGATATCTTTATTATGCCCATTTTCACTACCTGAAATGGATAAGTCTGAAATGGGCATCTCTGTTCAATTCCACACTCCCTCAGATGATTTCTAATGATAACAGCTAACAAACACAGCAGACATTGTCATCATGTTTCTGGTTTGGATGACACCATCTCCTTCCTACTCATTTATTTTACTCTTCTCAGGGCTGACCTCATGGGCATGTGGGCTGTGTGCTTGCATGGAGTCACACACTCAGAATGACTCCTTGCTTGGTTTAATACTTTGTTGTTGAAATTTTAAAATTCTTAATAATTTTATTTCTGAGTAGGCAGGTGAGCAGAGGAGTTAGGCTAGATGGCAGCATTAGCATGCAGTTTGGGTCCAGCAACAGCACCTGCACATGTGGGCTCAGGCAACACGCACATGGAGCAGTTGGCCTGGACTCCCCAGGTGCACACACATATCGTTATTCAAACACACAGGACCACAAGGGACTGGCTGGACTAGTATCTGGAGCTAAATTGCTGGCAGTAATGTCAACAGCAGCTGCAGATGGAGCAACAATAGTGGAAGTGGCCACTGCCCACTAAAAAGCAGAATCTCTGCCTGGCAGCGGCAATGGCCCATGATGTGGGTACAGGCTGACTTATCCATCAGTCCCAGAGCCCATGCCTGTGTCATCTAAAAAATTATTGACTATCTCACCTAAGTACCATGACAGGAAATGCTAGGAGCTTAGAAAGCAAACTTTGCCAGTAAATTATTTTAAATAAAAGTGTACACATGGTCACTTCAATAAAGCATATCAGGGAATTATTAGAAATCATGAGTCCAGAATCTAGTTTTCAAAACTACTGCAGCACTGCAAAGCAAATATCCTCAGGCTTAGAAATAGAAATAAAATTTAAAGATAATTTGAAGATTTGAAATTTAATATGAAAGATTATTGATGGAATAGAACACTTTTCATACGAAGTTTCAGAAATCAATTATTAACAAAAAGGATAAAAATAATAGCAATTTAACTTGCAATTGAAAATAAATGTTAAAATGAATAAATAAGTATTTGAAACATGAAGCCAACTGCTTTCTTATACAAAGTCCACAAATTACCAGAAATTTGAGAGGAATTGTTAAAATGCCATTTATTAAATTTATATTTAAAATTAAAGTCAGATTTACATGAAATTGATTTATATGAATTGATAGGTTAAATTTATTCATAAGAGAAATCTTTTTGAGAAAAAATTTCTCCTTGAGACTCATTAGCTCTACCTGTACTATAATTTATATTTTGATATAAGATATCAGAAATTCAGTCCAAATTTTCACCACCCACCAACACTCCTAATAACTTAAGCAGTACTTAAGCATATTCTTCTTAAAATTAAAACTCACAAAAAATTAGTTGCAACTTAGCATTTGCCACCAGTGACTGGCAATATTTTCAATTATGTTGATAATAAATGAAGTTCCTAAATATATAAATTTTGGTGAAAATAAATTTAGAGAAAAGTGAGCCAGAAGACCTTATGACCAATATAAACATTACATAATAAAGTATTACTATTTATTATATATGAAATTATGAGACAATATTGTTTGTAAGTTATATTTCATTTTATAGCTAATAAACGAGTTTTGAAGGGAAACATTTTATATTTTAGCACCAATAATAGTAGTCTTTCCTGCTTTTGGAACAAGAGGCCTCATATTTTCATTTTGCTCTGTGCCCTTGAAATTCTGTGGAAGATGACCCTCCCCCTCCCTGCCACACTTGAGAGGGTAAAGAGTATTTCTGCACTTATCACTGGTGGGCAGTGACAGCACTTCACTCGGGAAGTTTACTTGAGCCGATGGATTTTTATTGGATGTAATGGTAGGATCTATTTATCTTAGTGACTGAGCCATAATATCAATGACTAAAATTGGTCCATAGATGTTGGCTTCTCTCAACATATTTCAGTAGAACTATGAGATGCAGTAGTGGAGAATACAATCTCATCTGAGAAATATCATCTGATGCTAAGAGTAGCAGTGGCTACTGTTAAAAATGAGAGAACAGATCCAGAATAGAGTCCCTTGTGCTAAGCCCAAATCGCAAAATGGAGACTTAAGACCTAACTCAATTACAATTTCAAACTTCTTCAGGGGTAGAGTCTCAAACCAGTCAATCCGGAATTATCTGGTCAGCACCAGTGAAGTAACCCACCTACTGGACGCCTGCCATCCTCCAGGGGAAAGTGGCCTTGCCTGAAACAGTCAACTCTTCTCAAGAATAACTTTCTCGTCCCACTTCCGTCTGCCTGTAAGAGTGTTTTCATTTTGTAAAGCTCTTCACAACTCATTTCTGTTTGTTAGACAGGATGCTGCCTGATTCATTCAATAAAACCGATATAACCCTTAAATTTTATTCAGTTGAATTTGCTCTTTACATTCCTTAGGATGTACTTAGCATGTGCAGACTGTCAGGGATGGGTGTGGGAATGTCCTTGACTAATTAATTCCCACTAATTTGACTAACCCTTTGACCCACTCATTTTATAATTAGCTTCACAATTTCCCTGACCTCTGTTAGCACCTCCAAGTTTTTATTCTTGACCCTGAGGTATACCTGAAATTAAATGACTTCCTTAGCATTCATCACCCTAACAGAGACATAAACCTGTCATATTCCATTCAGAGTGGTATAAGGAATTCTGAATCCCTGATGAAGTCTTGAAGTCTCAGCTAAATACCTGTAATGATAAGTTTCTCTAAATTAAAAGAAAGAGTAACTGGTACAGGTAAATTATGGGTCTACTATGAGAATAACAAGAAGTCTTCTGAATTTCAATTAAATCCTGACATTCAGGAAACATTAGCTTTTCTTTTAGATACATTTGAAAATACTAGAACTGCCATGCTGAATGACAACTTCAGTTAGTTTCTATTTTCCTTTCTACATAACAATGATTATCATCAACATCATATCAGTAAAAAATAAATGAATTTGAAAGTTAAATTGAAATTGATGGGAAAAACACCATGAAGAAAAAAGGATGAAGCTTAGAGTTTCATATATCTCTACATATATTCATATGTATGTATATTTACAAGATAATTTTGTCTAGACCTAAGTGATTTTATTCTTCTCTAGGTTAATTTTAGTTCTTGCACTCTAAGCATAAAATAATATTTTAATTACTGTACACTTATGAATGAACTTATATCCAAGTCCTGGGTACACATGCAAAAAGCTCTGTCTACATTTTCACAGCAAAGATTCTCTGAATCATTCTTCTTAGAGCCCCCATCACCTCCTTGTTTCTCAGGCTGTAGATGATGGGGTTGAGCATTGGGGTCAGGATGGTGTAGAAGACAGCCAGAACCTTGTCCTCTGTTGGAGATCTGAGGGATCTTGGACGTAGATAAGTGTAAGCAAATGGAGCATAATAGAAAGTCACCACAGTGAGCTGAGTGGTGCAGGTGGAATAGGCCTTCTTCTTCCCTTCTGCTGAGTGCATGCGGTAGACAGCAAGGAGAACCTGGCCATATGAGCATGCAGTGCCAATGAAAGGCAACACAAGGAAGAGGGCAGTACTCACAAACACTGTGTACTCATAGACCCAGGTATCCATGCAGGCCAGAGTCAACATGGCTGGGACATCTCAGAAAAAATGGTTGATGGCCCTGGATTGACAGTAGGAGATTTGGAGGGCATATGCAGTGTGGGCACAGGAGTTGATAGAGCCCATTATCCAAGATCCTGTTATCATCAGCACACACACTCTTTTGCTCATATGAATGGGATAGTGGAGAGGAAAGCAAATAGCCACATAACGATCATAAGCCATAGATGTCAAGAGCAGTGCTTCTGCACCTCCTAAAGTCAAGAAAAAGAATCTCTGAACCCCACATCCAATGAAGGAGATAGATTTGTTTCCAAAGAGAAAATTAGAAACCATTTTTGGGACAATGGTGGAGATGTAATTCAAGTCAATGATGGAGAGCTGACTAAGTAAAAAATACTTGGGTGTGTGGAGATGAGTGTTCAGGAAGATGAGAAGGATCATGGACAGGTTGCCAAACAGAGCCGTTAGGAAAATGAGAACAATAAGAATGAAGAAGAACAGGCCAATGTTTGATGGTGGAAACATCCCCAATAAAATAAAATCAGTTAATGTTTGATTAGAATTTTCCATGGGGCATTAATATGATTTTTCCTACAGTTCGACACAAAAGTAAGTGGTTAAGTATGAAATTATAAGTTCTTTTTAACTTATTATTTTAGTTATACTGTGTATTATTTAAAATTTTACAGCTCTTAAATGAAGAACTGAACTTATCTATTTTGGGAGAAATAAACCTTATTTTCCGATCCAGAGATTAAAATGTGAATATGCAAACATTTGTGTCCAAAGCATTTTCTAAGAAACCATTTGAATTATTTAACAAACAAGATTTCTATTTTGACTTCATTAGGATAAGTATGTTTTACTGCCCTTCACAAACTTAAATATCATTAAAATCAGATGTTATATTCAAAATGCATGCATAGAAAATTTATGTAAACTTATATATTGTAGAGTTCTAGTATCAATAAATGTTTATCACTCTTCAGAGATTTTTTTCATAGTTTTACCTAAAACTTACCTCTACAATTGGTGTAGCCTATCAGCTCATGTTGCGGAGCTTTATTTCTTTCTTAAGTCTTCTGTACACAATAATGTCAAATCAAGATTTCCAATCAGGAAATCAGGAAATCAGGTATTATCATTTGGTTCATCTGTTCTGAAATATTGCATGAATCCTCATTGTCAAGTTCCACTTACACAAAGTCATCCTCTTCTAGCTTCTGAATGCTGCAGTTAAAGAAGACTCTTTACTTGCATATCTATATACATGCTCATTTTAGCTTTCGTAACTCTGCTCAAGCTCTTCCAAATAGCGTTTCCTGTCTCTGCTTCTCTAGCATGTATATAACTTTATACATTGCTTTATGGCACTGTCCTATTCATTTTTTCCTTTTGTTGTTTTAGTTTTTTTTTTTGTATTAAAGCAACAAAAGATCCCAAATAGCCAAAGGATTCCTGATAAAAAAAAGAACAAAGCTTGAGGTAGCACACTCCCCGATTTCAAAATATACTACAAAGCCATAGTAACCAAAACAGCATGGTACTGGCACAAAAACAGACACACAGATCAATGGAACAGAATTGAGAGCCCAGAAGTAAACTCACACATTTATGGACAGCTGATATTCGACAAGGGAGGCAAGAACATATAGTGGAGAAAGGAAAGTCTCTTCAATAAATGGTGTTGGGAAAACTGGGCAGCCATATGCAAAAGAATGAAAGTAGATCATTATCTTACACCAAGCACAAAAATCAACTCAAATGGATTAAAGACTTGAATGTAAGACCTGAAACCATGAAACTTCTGAAAGAAAACATAGACAATATACTCTTTGACATCAGTCTTAGCAGCATATTTAAAGTACCATGTCTGACTGGGCAAGGGAAACAAGAAAAAATGAGCAAATGGGACTACATCAAACTACAAACTTCTGCACAGCAAAGGAAACCATCAACAAAATGAAAAGACAACTTGACAATTGGGAGAAGATATTTGCAAACCATATATAAGATAAGGGGTTAATATCCAAAATATACAAAGAACTCATATGTCTCAAAGAAAAAAATCCCCAACAACCCAATTAAAAAATGAGCAAAAGCTCTGAACAGACATTTCTCTGAAGAAGGTATATGGATGACCAACAAGCATATGAAAAAATGCTCAACATCATTAGCTATCAGGGAAATGCAAATCAAATCTACAATGAGGTATCACCTCACTCCAGTCAGAATGGTTATAAGTAACAAGACAGGAAACATCAATTGTTGGAGAGGATGTGGAGAGAAGGGAACCCTTGTTCACTGCTGGTGGGAGTGCAAACTGGTGCAGCCACTATGGAAAGCGTATGGAGTATCTTCAGAAAATTAGGGATAGATCTACCATATGATTCAGCTATCCCACTGCTGAGTATTTATCTAAAGAACTTGAAAACACAATGCATAAAGATACTTGCACCCTTATGTTCATTGCAGCATTATACACAATAGCCAAGACTTGTAAGCAACATAGATGCCCACCAAGGGACAAATGGATAAAGAAGATGTGGTATATATACACAGTGGAATACTACTCAGCCATAAGAAATGTTGAAATCCGACCATTTGTGACCGCATGGATCGACATTGAGGGGGTAAGGCTAAATGAAATAAGTCAGAGGAAGGCAGTCAAATACCATATGATCTCACTCATAAGAAGAAGGTAAAAACAATGACAAACAAACACATAGCAACAGAGCTTAGATTGGTGGTTACCATAGGGGAAGTGGGAGATGGGGAGGGCAAAAGGGGTGAATAGGCTCACATGTGTGGTGATGGACTATAATTAGTTTTTGGGTGGTGAACATGATGTAATCTACACAGAATTTGAAATATATTATGATGTACATCTGAAAGCTATATAATGTTATAATCCAATGTTACTGCAATAAAATGAATTAATTTAAAAATTAAAAATAAATAAGTAAAATTATATTTAGTTCTAGATAAGTGTGTGAATTTAGGAACATATATTTATCACATCTCCCTCTTAAAACCTAATTATTATGATGATAAAGAAATAGATATGTTACAAATTAAAAGACAGGTGAACAAAAGACACAATGAGAAATGAAATATTTCAGGACTCTTTGAAAGAAGGAATTGGGATAGAGAAATGGTCAGTTACTTAAACGGAAAATAGGACATGGCACCCTGAGAATCTTCACGGAGGTAGGAGGAGATTCTCCTCCAGAGACGTCGTAAGTGAACAAGCTCCACACAAGATGTGATGTCTTAGTCTTAAATATTATTTTAGAGACCAATGTTACCAGACTTTTAAGGAAGTTTCCAACATGAAAGAGGAAGATGCACAAACTTGCACACATACACACACAAACACATATGCATTCACACACACTCTGCGCAAATATAAAGGGAGTTATACGTGGTTGGAAAAATGCAGAAAGAGAATACATTTTTAAAAATTAGAATTCATATCTTCAAAGAAGTATGAAATATTATTATGCCACATTACATTATTAGATTTATTTAAAACGTGTCAGATAATAAGAAAGAGATTTCCAAATTAAAAAAATATAATTGATAAAATCAGTAAGTGAAAGTTTGAAAGACAAAGTGAAAAAATCCACCAGAATTAAAAGAAAACAACAGCAAGAACAACATAAAGAGATTGCCATTTTGAAAGATTTGGAGAATTAGAGAATTAATGTAGGGAAATCAGTGTATGCTTGTTGTCATTCCTAGAAATGCATATAGCAAAATAATAATGGAGTTAACATCATCAAGGAAACATTTTTCAGAATTGATGTATATGACCCACCATATTCAGACACCATAAACAGAACACAGAAATGTAAATGAGAAATATTTTATTGAAAGAGATTTTCTTGAAAATTCTAAATGTATTCTTGAAAACATTTTCTGAAAATAGTGAATATTGCCAATAAATTTATGGCCTGAAAAGTGCCTTGACAGAGTAAATAGTCATAATAATGACAAGAACTATATATAGAAATAGTAACTAAATTATCATTTGAATTTACTATAATTTATATCTTTGTACTTTAGTAATATATACTGGAAGATGAAACAGTGCCGTCAACCTTGCCACCCAAGACCCAAATAGTAATGTAACTGTGCTGAAAGGATAGGAAAAGGGAAAAAGATGTGGAAGTGGTGGTATATGGGGGGAAGGTTTCCATTCTAAACTGACCACAAACAAAAATCTGTTAGAACTAACAAGTTCAGCAATGTTGCAAGATACAAAATCAGTTGTATTTCCATATACTAATAATGTACGATCCTAAGAAGAGTATAAGAAAACAATTACATTTACAATATCATCAAAGAGAATAAAATACTTAGAAATAAATTTAACAAGAAAGGCAAAACGTATGTGCACTGAAAATCACACAACGTTGCTGAAAGAAATTGAGGAAGAGACAAATAAATAGAAATGAACCCTGTGTTCATGAATTGGAAAACTTAATATTATTAAGATGTCAATACTACCATAAGCAACTTCAGGTTCAATGAAATGCCTATCATAATCCCAATGAGATTATTTGAAGAAATGAAAAAAATACATCCTAAAATTCATTTTAAATCTCAAGGTACTCTGAATAGCCAAAACAATAAAATAAAAGAATTGGAGAACTCATTTTTTTCTGATTCAAAACTTACTAAAAAGCTATTATAATAAAAACAATGTAGTATTGGCAAAAAGGCAAACATAAACCAATAAAGCAGAAATACCAGAAAAAAACCGCCATGCGTGTGGTCAAATCATTTTTGACAAGGATCTCAAAACCATTCAATGAGGATGCCTTTTCAAAAAATAGTGGTGAAAAAACTGGATCTCTACATGCAAATAATGAAATTGTACCATTACTTTACACTATACACAAAAATTGAATGGATGAAAGAGATATAGAGCTAAAACTATAAAATCTTAGAAGAAAACATAGAGGAAACATTTCATGAAATTGGATTTAGCTGTGCTGTATTGAATATGACACCAAAGCATGTACAACAACAATAAAAATATAGATAAGCTGGACTTCATCAAAATCGAAAACTCCTGTGCATGGATGAACTTCATCATCAAAGTAAATCAGCAACCCACAGAATGGAAAAATATTTGCAAAATGTATATCAGATAAGGGATTGCTGCAGGGCATATGTAAATAACTCCTACAAATAAACAACAGAAAAAAGTAATTTAAAAATTAAAATTTAAAAAGAATGGATTCATGTACAGTAAAAGTGCAAGTAGGAAGCAGCATCACAATACCATTCTGACATGTAACCACTCTTCTTTCATGGGAAAAAATATAATAAAACAGCAGAAAATAAGAAAGTCTTTCCATTACAATCCTTATTGAGGATCTGGACTCTTAAATGTTAGGTTTATTCTTCAAGTTTCACTTGAGCACATGCCAAGCACATTTCAATGTATTAGGCCCTATCTCTTCCAGTGACCCTCATCTCATTTCCCATCTAGACATCACATTTATGAATCAGCTTCAAAACCACTTTCTGTTGTCTCCTTCATACTCTACAATTCCCCC